TCTGGGCCCCCCATGCTTTTGGTGCCACTCCCTGTGGGCCCCTTTCCCTATGGGGAAACTGAGGCATGGGCTGCACTCTGCTCCAGAAAGAGTGGAGACCCCCAGGCTGAGCAAGCCTCGAGGATGGATTGGGCTCTGTCTGCTGGGAGGTTGGAATTAGCCCCTGGGAAGCAGCTTTGCTGCTCATGCCAGGGCCTGGAGGCTGTGGCAGTGCTGGCCTTTTCTTCAAGATGCGGTCGCTGCCCACCCTGCCATGGCCAGATGCTGGGCAGAAGCTGCCTCGGGTCTCTTGCAGAGGCAAGGCAGCAGTGAAGGGACAGAAAACTATTGCCCCGTGAAAGGAGTCTTGGGACCTGCCCCCAGATGCAAGATGCAAGGCTTTGCCTCCTTCATATGGACTCTTTCCTCCTGCCCAGCTCGCATTTTCTGCCCATTGAATTTCTGCTCTAACTGCTTGGGGGCTTTTTTGAGAGTGGGAGCTGTGGGGGGTAAAATCAGGAGGGGGTTTTTTAACTGCTTGGAGAAGGTAGTGGAGAGGATCTTTTATTGGAAGGTTGTGATTCAGGTGCCTCCAGGGGTTATTTTGGGACTGGAAATGGCACAGAGGATTAAACAGCCCCAGCCACATTTCTCACCCTCTGAGGAGGAATGTCGTGAGGTTTTGCAGCTGCCTGGGCTGTGGTTTTCTTGCTAAATGGATGTGATGGTTGCTGGCTGAGGAGTGAATTAAAGGGCTGGGAGATGCACCAGGGTGACGTGACTTCTTTGGGGAGGTGGGACAGTGGGGCTCAACCTCACTGGAGAGCCTGGGTTGCCCTGTTGCCACCTCAGGGAACGGTTCATCCCAGTGGGGTGGGAAGTTTGGTGGGGATGGGAGCTGCTAGAAGCCCATAGGGAAGATGACGGAGCTGGGGATGAAGGAGCTGGAAGTGGTGGGAGGAATTGGAGGGCCCTGGGGTTGTGCCCCATTCTGGTGTGGCCCTGCCTTCCTCCCTGACCTGTGAGAGGGAAGGCAACATGGGGGTACACTGAGAGCATGGGGTGGGGAGGAGGCTGGGGACATGCCCAGCCAGCCCCACAAAGAGCAGCTCTGTCACAGGGGGTGGTGGTGGCACCAGGCATAGCACCCACCCCAGCAGCATCTATCTGGGCATGGGGGCCCTGGGCACTGTGGGAAGACATAGGGCAACATTGAGACAGGGCCCTCAGGGTCCATCCTGCCCACCCTACGTGAGGCTGCAGAGCTGGGGTCACTCTGCAGGGTCGGGGTGCTCCCGGTGGGGCATGACCATGAGGAAGAATTTACACCTTCTTCATTACCTCTTATTACCTGACATTGGCTTTGCAGCTCAGACCAAATTATTGACAATGTTTCTGCTTCCCTGCACGTGGGAATAACAATTTCTGGCCTTTGTTTTTTTCACTATTAGTTAAAGTGAGTCCCTTTACCAGCATGTCTCCCTCCCAGTCCTGTCTGGTTTGTGCACTTGAGGCTATCTTGCTTTTCTTCCCGTGCACCCTCATGCTCAGCAGTGGCCAGGTGCTTGCACCCTCACTCACCCGCTGCCTCTCACCTTCCCAAAGGTGCCCATGTACATCCCAAATGCTGCACATGCGCTTCTAAACCTCGTGACCGAAGCAGGCGGGAACAGACCCCTTTTCTGCCACCGCAGTAGCCCTGGTATGAGGTGACCTTCACGTCCCAGGGCACCAGTCCCAGCTCTGGCACCGCTCTGTGCAACTCGATCCTTCCAGATCAGCTGCTGGCAGCGCGGCTGAGCTCACTGCAGTCCTGCTCCCTGAGTCAAGCAACGATGGGGATGGGAGGTGGATGATGATTTTGCTTTGGGAGCTTCCCTGAGCTGTGCCAAACAGCACAAATTGCCACTTTTGCAAACTTTCTTGTTCCTTCCTTGCTGCTTTGCTAGCAGCACTGGGCACATCTGTTTGCAAAGCACCCGCAATGCTTTGAAATGGCCACTGAAACCAGAAGCAATGTGAACAAGCAAACCACGGTCCAAGCCTCCATGGTCTGTCTGAGCAAGAGGCTCCATACCTTGAGCTTTCCCAGCCAGCAAGCCCCTGCCATGCAGTGGAGAAGTGGTGATGTCTGAACCTGCTGGGTTTTAGTGGTTTTAAAGGCTGGAGTTAAGCTGATATGGATGGCTGGAAGTGACTGAAGCTGTTGAATTTGGAGGTAGAAATTAAGAGCTTGAGGGGAGGATAGTCATACACTAGTCAGCAACACTGCTGATGACCCCCAATGGCCTCCTGCAAGCTTAAAAGCCACCAAAAAGCCATCTGAGGTTGTGCTTTGGGACAAGAGAAAGGATTTACAGTGCTGGTGGGAGCAGGTAAAGGGGGGTGTGCAGAGGGGGCTGGGGGTGACTGCACTCCTGAATTGCAACAGGGAAGGAGCCACCAAACCAACCTGTGAAAGTGTTTAATTTTGAAAGATAAATGGGCTAAAAGCATAGTTGGGTTGGGCATGCTTTGTGGGGTTGGAAAGGTTTTAAGCTGACCAGAGCTGGTCCCTGACCTCAGGCATGTCTGTACTTGGGTGCTGGGAGAGAATAAAATTGGCCCTTGCCCAGGGTGCACTGGAGGCAGGTGTGTGGGGGGTCAGCTGTGCCAGTCCCACCGGCTCCCCACCCCTTGCACTGCCCTGCACCAGCACTGCAGCACTGGTTTCTGACTTTTTGATCCTGGGCTGGGGTGGGGTGGGGGGGGGAAGTTTTCACTAACGCTTTCCTTTTTAAAGCAGGAAAACCTTTTCCTCATGCCTGAGTCAGCAGAAAGGCTTTCCCTGGGTTTCCCCAGCATGACCTGGGCTGCACTTGCCTGCCCCAAAGGCCCTGGTGAAAACCCAGAGCAGCAGCTCTCTGCCACCGCTGCCTTCCTGGGAAGGGCCAGGAGTGCTCCCTTCGTGCAGGGAAACGTGTCTGCAAGAGTGAGCTGGAAGGAGAGATTTGCTTAAACTTCTGTGTTTTACATCCTCCTCTCTCACCACAGCACTCACCAGCCAGCAGTTAGTCCCCACCTGTTTCTTCCCCCCTTTTTTTTTTCTGCCTTCTTTTTTTCCTGTATTTAGATCTTGCCTAATGGTTTCTCACCACAAGTGCCACTGACAGATGCTCACTCTAGCTGGGTAGTGCCTGAGAAACAGGTTTCTCAGGAGAGAAGCTGCACCAGGAGCTTGGCAAAGCTGTGCAGCATCCCTGCAGATCCCGTGTCCCGGGGATGAGTTGCCCTCTGAGCTGACATGGAACATTGACCAGGGTATTTGCCAGTGCTGGGAAACCTGTGAGCATGGGACAGGGATGCAATCTGTATAGTTCTCCCCCAACCAGGTAATGATGGGTGTTTTGTTTAATATTCAAGAATATTAAGTGTTTTCTGTGTCTTCAGCACAGGAGCTCTAATTGAGGTGAGACCTGATGCCAGCCTGTGCCTGTCATCAACATCCTGCAGTTCAGTGCTGCTGTGGGATGCTGCTTGTGCGGCCCAGTGGAAGAAGCAGCTCAGGATGACCTTGGGCTGTGGGGAAGGGTCAGCACTGGCTGCTCCGGTCCCCGGGAGTCGCCAAAAAGCAGAGGCCACTGTGCTGAACGGACAGCAGGAGCACGCTGGGTTTGGTTGCACCCGTTTTGGTTTGCACGGCAAAGCCACTGGGCCACCCAGGTATGTGTAAGTCAGAGGAGCATCCTGATTTGCAGCCTCACGCCAGGCTGAAGCTGCGAGAAATGTCCCCCAGAAGCAGTTCCCGGGGAAACAGCTGCGGCAGGCAGCTGGGAGAGCTGAGGCGGGGGGGCCGGGGTTGCAGCCCGGGCAGGGACAGCTCATCGGGCCGCTCCCCGGGGGCGCGGCAGGTGAGGGCGGGGATGGGCGAGGCTCTTGGGCACGTTTCGCTGTCACGGCGCATGAAATGGGGTCCAGCCCCGAGGCCCTGCCTTGGCTCCGGGTGCAGC